AAAAAAAAAAAAAATGAAGATTATGTTGTACATGTAATCTTTATTCTTTTCTTGGAAATCATGAATCTTTTTTATGTCATTAAATATATTTTCAAATGCAAAATGTAGATTTTAATAACTACAAAATATTCTTTCTTAGTTCAACAAACATTTAATCTTCAATGTGCCAGGCATAACACCATAATCGTTTTTTATTATAATGTGTTTTTTAAATTAAAAGAAACATTTCAAAATATTTTCTTAATATACTTCTCTCCAGGGATTATTCCAAGTATGCACATGGAAGCCTGTTTCTCTATGGAGGGAGCTAGAGGCAACTCATAATCTAATAGTCAGGGGTTCTTGGAATTCATTCCCAACCTCTTCATTAATTGCTAAAAATATTTACCATAACCTTTTAAATCATTTTTCTATTGTATATTTTGCTGGTTTATAAAGTTCCTTAATATAAAAAGTACCATGGTAAACATATCTACATGTAAATATTTGATAATATGTATTATTATTTTCTTTAGGATGTGCTTTCAGAGTATGCAGTGGTTAAGGCACTTGATATCATTGATGGCTTTATATCCATAAAAGGTACACTTTTCTGCAGGAATTGTTTAAGTGTATGCTCATCACAATGGAGTATTTCCGTTTTTAATTAGTACATACATTATTTTATCATTATATTACCAATTTTTTAATTAAAGTAAGACAATTGCATAGATTTCTTATTGCCATCACTCCTCACCAATGAGGAAAAAATAAAACTCTGAACACGTAGCAGTTTGTTCTGGTGTCTAACAACATATTTCTTAAATTTTTTTTTTTTTGAGAGGGAGTCTTGCCCTGTACCCAGGCTGGAGTGCAGTGGCAGGATCTCAGCTCACTGCAGCCTCCACCTCCCGGGTTCAAACAATTCTCCTGCCTTAGCCTCCTGAGTAGCTGGGACTACAGGTGTGTGCCACCATGCCCAGCTAATTTTTGTTTTTTGTTTTTTAGTAGAGACGGGGTTTCACCATGTTGGCCAGGATGGTCTCGATCTCTTGACCTTGAGATCTGCCCACCTTGCGATCTGCCTGCCTCAACCTCCCAAAGTGCTGGGATTACAGGCGTGAGCCACTGGGCCCGGTCTCTAATAACATATTTCTACATAATATGATTTTCAGGCATTATTTTCAGACTACCCATTATGGAAGAGGAGGAAATATTAATAGCACTCTGACACTGCCCTAATTCCTATCTACCCAATCTGCCAATATGCTTATATCATATTTTAATGTATAATTTTGTGTTTCCTTTCTAGAATTTCCCTACATGGAGTACTCCATCCTCTTGTTCCAGTCTCAGCTGGCTGCTCCATGGGCTACTTCATAGCTTTCATCACAGAGCTTTGCTTGGCCTCTCTCCTGTGTGTCATCTCTGTTTCTTGGATTCTGTGCTTTCATTTTCCCACTGTACTCTGATATTTCAGTGAAGTTTATCCACGAAGTCCAGAATTCTGCCTGGAAACCAGCTTCCTCCTCAGCTGCAGCTCTTTTAATGGGTACATCCGAACTGATGACTTCTCCTTCCTGCTGCATAGGTAACACTTACTTGTTGGTCTAATTTCCATTTTCCAGAAATTTCTCAAAATGTCTGCTGATAGCCCTGTACTCATATTTTTCATGTGGGTTCATAGCTTTCATATTTCTTTATTATTGTAAATGGGGGCTGTGGAAGGTGAGGAAACACATCCTTTCTTAAAACAGAAGCTCTCTTTCATTAACTAAAATATTTTTATCGACTCTAGAAAATGCAGAAAGTTAGTACAAGATCATTAGACAGAAAGTCAAAGATTACAGAAGTGCTGAAGTAGATCATTCTTACTTTCTTTGCAATGTCCATTACATCCACACATAGGTAAACTGTTACAAAGCCAGAATGGTGAAAGAGTAAAACAATGGCTGAGGGAAGTGGAGGTTAAGATATAGCTCAACAGTGAAAGTAGCAGGGAAAAAGCTGGGCAAAGCAAAGATCATCTTTTGTACAGTTGATACAGTAGGCTAAAGGTGCAGTGTTCTGTATTAGCTAGAGCAATATGAAGGAAATAAATTAAGTCCCTTATACCTAAGACCTCTATTTTTCTGTTGATTACATATGCGGTGGCAATGGAAAGAAGGGAAAATAATGGGGATAGCATTTGCTGATTCTCTGATCATGCAACACTGGCAGCATTCTAGACTCATTCTATTAATTACATTAACCACATCTTATAAAACACGTTTCCAAAGGCCGTATGTAAGAGGCCTTGCCTTCATTTGTTGCATTTATTAGCTCCTTAAGTTGACAATATATAATTGTTTTCATATAATTTTCATCAAATAAAATTCATTTTAATTTGTATGAACATATTTAAAGTGGAAAATATCTTCTCAAATGGTCCGTATCTCAGGCAGCGGATATTTTATGGGCTTCGCATCTGAACAGCCAGAGATCTCAGGCATAGCATGCATTAATCACAACCACTTACTGACCTGGTTCAGATGCTTACTCAGTACATGGGGCTAGACTCAGAGTGTGCCTTAGGCTAAAGAAAAAATTATTCAAGTTGAGCATATCCATAAACTCTTGCTCAAGCTATGTATTTGGGGGGATAAACACAAGTTTATTCCTAGTTGAAAAGATACGATGCTTAGGACTGAACCTGTTGCCTTTCTGGAATTAAGAGCTAGAAAACATAGAGACATTTCTTTCTAACTGACACAGTTTCTAATAGAAACAATCCACCAGGATATTGAGCCCACATTTTAAGAGTTCTTTGGAATTTACTGAAAATGGAAAACTGATTACATTGGGCACATAGGACATTTATATTTATAGATACATTTTAGATAAGACAAGAATTTTAAAAGCCAGAAATCACTTTTACTGGGCATTTTCAGAAAAATGTTGTCAACTTTTTATAATTTTTAATAGGCAAAAAAAGGATTGTTATATTGATATTGACAGAAATTAGGTGGTTAATTAGAGAGTCTAGCATAAAAGGATGGATTGCTCTAACAGTGGTTTAGAATTTTTCTTTATATGATTCAATTTTGTGGTCTGGCAAAGGCCCAATAGTCATTTATCTGGTATGCATACCTTTCCACAGCTGGATTTTCAAATATGATTATAAAGTTCGTATGACAGAACTATTCTGAAAATAAATATGTCAGCAGACTTTGCTTTATTTTATGTATTTATTCTGGATATAACATAACTTGATACAAACACAGACTACAATTTAAGACATTTTGCCAGAGTTCTTCAAGTATAGCATCGTTTGAGATTGTGGAAGGTGATTTAGAAACACCTGGGTTGAATATTTATATCCCAGTCTTAAATCCTAAAAACCTTCAGTTTTATAGTACTTTCGGGGAAAGACAGGAACTACATTAATACTTGTTAGTGTAAAAGTTAATGCATTGCTGGAAAAGCCTTGGAAAAAATTAGAAAATTAATGCAAAAAATGAAGGGAAAATTTAAAAAGGTAGTATTTGATCAGCATTTGTAGGTTTAGGGTTGTATTTTTTAGAATATATTTTTAGGAATATATCTTTCATATTTTAGTGTTTGGGAGGATGATGAGAAGATTCATTAGAATAAAATTCTAAATCTTGTATGTAAATGAGAATTTTTGTTTGTAGTAGTATTTTATGGAATGTGGCTAAGAGTCCCATCTAATGGTGAAACAAAAATGAATACAATATTCTCCTCAAGCTCTATGTGGTCCTCCTGGTACCTCTGTCTTTTTAATGACACTGTTCTCATGCTCTCCTTCCTCCCTTCCTTACATCTGCTTGGTCCAACTTGATGCCACACAAGACAAAAAGCATATTTGATAGAAGAATATAAGCTGATATTAGTAGGGAGCAGAACCATAAGGTCTCCTCTCTTCTTGAGTAATATGTTTACATTTAACAGCAGTCATCTAGAGGAGCACCTCCAGCTTTCCTGTCAGAAAGAGTGATTTTCGGATAGTGTAGTAGAAGAGCAAGCAGCACTGTAGCTCATGATGTAAATATTTTCTCAGAGTGGAAATTTTATAGCCTACCATATAACATGTTAGCTACATAACCTGTCATACATTTGAAAAAGTCCTTTCATGAGATAATCTTTACCAATTATAAATAATAATAGTCATTGCTAATATGTTTGAGTACTTTACTTACTCTGGCCAGGCACAAAGTGGTTTACATATATTAACTCACTTGAATCTCCCAATAATTGTATTAGGTAGGTCCTTTAGTTATCTCATTTTATGGATGAGATATCTGTCAATTCTCTTTTGTGATTAATGCACTACCTCCAAAATTAGAGGCTTAAAATAGCAACCCATCATTTAACTCAAGATTCTGTGGAATGATGGCTTGGGTGGGGCTTAGTTGGCTAGTTCTTGTTCTGAGCCAAAATAGGTGATCTTGGCTGAGCTCTATGAACCTGTGATCAGCTAGTGAGCCAGTTGGGGCCTGACTGATCTGTAAAGACCTTAGCTAGATCTTACTCCAACAGGACTTATCCCCGCACAGTTTCTCATTCTCTAGCCTACCAGCCCTGGCTTGTTCATGTGGTAGTCTCACAATTCCAAAAGCTCTCAAATGAAACTGCAAGTCCTCTTAGGCCCGGCTATGACACTAGCATAACCTCATTTTTGGTGCATTGTATTGGTCAAAGCAAGTAATGACTCCTACCAGGTTCAAAGTAGGGGGAAAAAGACTCCACTTTTCGAGAGGAATATCATTGTGGGCTTTTTTACATTTGCTTCTGTCTCTAAGACATGTGTCATGACTTGCCAAAGATCACAGTTAGTAAATAAAGGAATTGAATTAAACTCCATGCAGCTTGAGGCCATTACACTGCATAATTCAGCATTGTGTTTCAAATGTCAATGCTAACCCTTGACCTCTTCCACCTGTTAATGCTAGGGTACCATACCAATTTCTAATTATAAATTCTTTTTAAAATGGTACTAGTAGCTTTGAATGTGCAAACTAAAAATTGTTAAATAATCTCTGCAAAATCTAATGGGTCTAGACCAGTATGTTATAGACTCTCCATGAGTCTCAAGAGTTCATCAAGTCTCTTGGACAAGAAAGGGTGTCAGATCTGAGACTCCAGTTAATGACTTACTAACTCACAATGGGCGTTTCATCTCTTCAGAATGGTCTCTGGGACTGGAAGCTAAATATGGAGATTGTGAGTGGCTTTTGGGAAAGGCAATGGAAACCAAATAAACAAAATGAGTTACCAAATACCCTTTCGTACATTCAATTCCCTTCCCATCATATTGATCGACCCTGAGTCTGTTTAGTCCAGCTGCAGTTTTATTTACTGGCATCAATGGCTCTGGAATCATCAGGATTGCCTCATGGTTATTGGTTTTCATTTTGGATCCCAGATGACTGTGGTATTTTCCCTTCATTATTTAACCACACATTTAATTCAAAGCTCATTCATGCTCAGTAAGGCAGCTTTTAATATCTCCATATTCCCTAAATCTGGGATCCTGAACCATTGACATGAAATACTTCTAGGACCCAGGCTTTTAAAATTGGAAATATGGCTGGTTGCTTCTTATCTCAAATTTCCTTTCCCTATAGTGAGCAATTTTTTTTTTCATTTTGAACTTCCACTTTTCTTTTTGATTAAGAAAAATAAATGAACTGAAATAGAATTCTTTCTTCTTCTTGTTTTATTCATTGCCATGCCCTTTAGTGGTTCCTGTACTGTGTGTTCTGGAGAGTTATGGACCTCAAGAGTCGACATAGGATCTTATGAGATGATGAATGCTGCCGACACAATAGCTGTTTTCTCCACTGAGTCCAAGTGCTTTTGCTTTTGAGTCCCTACTTCTTGATGTCAGCAGTGAGCATGAAGAACAGTTTCAAAAAAAAAAAAAAAAAAGGTCAGCTTCTTTCCAGAGCTCTTTGGTAAAAATATGTAATGACTGCAGATTGGATTTTTCAATTTATCACTCCATCTAGAAATCTATTTTTTAAAAAATGCTTGGTTCTTTATATTTTCACAAGGAGGGACCATATTTATTATTTATTGTTATGTATATCTTTTTAAATTGTTTTTTTGAGACAGGGTCTTGCTCTGTCACCCAAGCTGTACCACAGTGGAGTGGTCATAGCTCTAAAGCGATCCTCCTGTCTCAGCCTCCTCAGTAGCTGGGACTACAGGAATGCCACCATGCCCAGCTCACTTTTAATTATTTTTAGAGACTGTTGTCTCACTATGTTATCCAGACTGGTCTCAAATCCTGGTCTGTAAGCAGTTCTCCCATCTCAGCCACCCAAAGTGTTGGAATTACAGGATTGATCCACCATGGGCTGTATATGTCTTGAATACCTCTATCAAACGTGTATATGTTATTTATTAAAGGCCAAGCATCATTTTAAGTGTTTTCTCAATAATCAATTTTTTTAATGTCTCCATATAATAATGTGCTACAATATATATTTTAGGCTTAAAAATGTTAATATTATTAAAACCTGGCATATTAGCATAAGAAATATTCTGAATAAAGGTCGTAACTGGATATACCTAGGTATGCATTACAGACCTATTGATAACAGAGGAATAAAGGAACATTCTATTAAGCAACAAGGAAATTGCAGTCACTCAAACCATGTGTATAAAGGATAATTGCTACAGTAGTAAGGCAAAAGCTAGACTTGAATACTTTAGAATATAGAATAACATCTAAAAAGACTGTAGACATATACCAACATAGAATATAGAATAACATCTTAAAAGTCTATAGACATACACCAACATGTTACTCTGGTACATGAGAATAAGGGTTTCTTTTTCTTTTAAATATTTACATATTTTTCTATTTTCTAAAATTAGCCCACTTTTCTTTGATATTTTACTGAACAAAAATCTGAAACAAATTCAGATATATATATATATCTGAATATATATATTTTTCAGATAATTCAAATATATAATATATGTATATTCGTTTGTTTGTTTGAGATGGTATCTTGTTGTTTCCCAGGCTGAAGCACAGGGGCACAATCTCGGCTCACTGCAACCTCCACCTCTCGGGTTCAGGCAATTCTCCTGCTTCAGCCTCCCAAATAGCTGGGATTACAGGCAACCATCACCATGCCTGGCTAATTTTTGTATTTTTAGTAGAGACAATGTCTCACCATGTTGGACAGGCTGGTCTTGAACTCTTGACCTCAGGTGATTATCCCTTCTCGGTGTCCCACAGTGCTAGGATTACAGGTGTGAGCCACTGCACCCAGCCAAATTCAGATATATTTTTTGATCTATCAAACATTTGTATTGTAATGATAAAATAGTTTATTTAAAAAGATAATTGTAACATTTGCAGAAAGAACAGAAAAAAAGATATGTGAAACAATCATTTACAATCACATTACTATGAGGTAAGTACTGTTACCATTTTCTCATATTCCCTCATTCATTTTTTCCACATATCATTATATATATGCACATGCACACCTATGCATGCACACACACAAACACACAATTTTGATTCCTAATTTTTACCTTACCAAAAATTCCATATCATATGGAAAATATGAAGAAAAATTCTTCATATTTTAATTGCTATAAAATATTTCATGGTACAAATGACATAAGTTGTTTCCTCTCTTATTAGACTTTTGAGTTGTTTTTATTTTTTGATATTTTATATATATATATATTTTGTATTTTTTTATATTATAAAAAATAGATTAACATACTTTCTGGTAACTTTTTGTGTGCTTTAAAAAAAAATATTTCCCAAGGGAATTGTTAGTGACTTTCTAATCACCAAACCCACTGCTGTTTGTCAGTCCTCATCCTTCATGTCATTTGTACTGCTTGCCTGATATTGGCTACCTTTTCTTCCCTGTTGCATCCCTCTTCTCCCATGGCTTTCATGAAATAGTGGTTTCCTGATTATGCTACTGGTCTAACACCTTTCTCAGTTCCCTAAAGGTTTGTTTTTCCTTGTGTTTTCCTAACTTGATGGTCCTAATATTTGGAATTCCATCTTTTTTTTCAGTTCTTACATGACTATCTCCCTCAATCCTAAGCTTTTATGCGTCTATGAAATTGAAGCATAAAATTTATTAAAATCCTTCTGTGAGGATTACCACTAAATCTTTTCCTTGAGTTCTGAACTCTTTCCCATTCTCTAGATTCACATTTCTCCTTGCTGTGGATGGCTACTTAAAATTCAAAATGTTTGAAATGGAAAGCAAATTTAACAGCAAGGCAACCATTTCTCCTGTTATATTTCCCTCTTATTTCTACCTGCGGCATTACAGTGCTTTCAGTCTGGAACTTGGAGTCTTTAAAAAAAAAAAATGGCTTACTTGAGATGTAATCAAACTTTACATATTGAAATTATAGAGTTTTGTCTGTTTTAAAACCATTGTAACAATCAAGATAATGAATTCTATCACCCCAAAAGTATATTCAAGCTCTTTTAAATTACTTTCTTTTAAATTTTAAAATTTCTTTTAAATTTTAAAATTCCTTTCTCTAGTCCCATCCTGAGACAAATGCTGATTTACTTTCTGTCACTATAGATTACTTTTCATTTTCTTGAGTTTTGTATGAATGAAATCATACAGTATGTACCCAGCATAATGATATTGAGATTTATCTACAATGTTGCATGCATTAGTATCTTTTTCTTTTTATTGCCAAATAGTATGTCACACATGGATGTATCAAAATTTGTTTATCCATTCACTTGTTGATGACATTTGGATTGTTTCTAATTTTTGATTTTTAGAAATAAAGCTGCTATGAACATTGGTATTGTAAACCAAAAAGTAGCTAAGACAAGTCTTAATTTAGAAGTTTATTTTGCCAAGGTTAAGAACATGCCTATGACACAGCCTCAGAAGGTTTTGATGACATATGCCCGAAATTGTCAGGCTACAACTGGGTTTTACACATTTTTGGGAGACAAAAGACATCAATCAATACATGTAAGATGTACATTGGTTTGGTCCAGAAAAGTAGGACAACAGGATGTGGAGGATTCCAGGTCACAGGCACATTCAGAGATTTTCTGATTGGCAGTTGGTTGAGTTATTATCTAAAGACTTGGAATCTAATCTGTCATGAGAGTTTTTAATAAAGTAAAATAAAGACCTGGAATCAATAGAAAGAAGTGTCTGGGTTACTATAAAGGGTTGTGGACACCAAGGTTTTATCATGCAGATGAAGCTTCCAGGTAGCAGGCTTCAGAGAGAATAGATTGTAAATGTTTCTTATGTTTCTTATCAGATTTAAAGACCATTTTCTATCAGTCTTAAGGTCTGTGTTGATGTTAATGGTTCCCATCATGGCCTGAAGTAGTTTTACAGGTTAACTTTGGAATGCTCTTGGCTGAGAGGAGGGGTCCATTCAGAATGGTTGAGGGGTTTAGAATTTTATTTTTGTTTGCAGTATGCAAGTTTTTGTGTGAACATATTTTTTTGGGGTGTCTCTTGTGTAAATTTCTAGGAGGTAAGTTTATACTTCATTTTCAAAGAAACTGCCAAACTGTTTCCCAAAGTAGTGGTACAATTCCTATCAGCAGCATATGAGAGTCTAGTTGCTCCATATCTTCAATGTCTTAGTCTGTTTATCATAGTGTAACAAAATACCTTGGACTTGGTGATTTATATATAATATAAATTTATTTCTCATGGTTCTGGATGCTGGGAAGTTTAAGATCATGGCACCAGCAGATTCACTGTCTAGTGAGGACTGCTGTCAGGTTTCAGGCTGGTGCCTGGTTACTGCATCCTTTATGGCAGAAGGCAGAGGGCGAAAGGAATGATCACTGTGTCCTCACATGGCAGAAGAGATGTCAGGGATAGAAAGGATAAACTCTGTATGAAGCCTCTTCTACGAGGATATTTATCCTATTCACACAGGCAGAGCCCTCACGACCTAACTGACTCCTAAAGGAATTGATACTATTATATTGACAATCAAATTTCAACATATGAATTTTGGGAGATAAAATTCTACTCCTGGACCCCCTCCAAATTTTTTGTTCATCTCACTTGCAAAATACATTTATTCCATCTCAGTAGCCTCAAAAATCTTAACACGTTCCAGCATCAACTCAAAAATATGAAGTCCAGACTGTCTTCTAAGTACCATCTAAATTAGATATGAGTGAGACTCAAGGTCTGATTCACCCTAAGGCAAAATCCCCTCTGACTGTGAACCTGTGAAATTAAACAAGTTGTGTGCTTCCAAAATATAATGTGGAACAGGCATAAAATAGACATTCCTATTCCAAAAGGGAAAAAATAGGAATGAAGAAAGGGATAATAGGTTCCATGTAATTCCACAATCCAGCAAGGCAAACAATATCACATTTTGAGGCTTGAGAAGAGTCTTTGACTCCATGTTCCACCTTTTGGATACCTTGAGGCCCAAGTTGGGGCCTGACTCACAGGTTGGGGTCTGGTGCCTGTGACTCTCCTAGGCTGGTGTTGTACACTGGTGGCTCTAATGGTCTCAGGGGAGCCCTGCCCCAATGGCTCTGCTAAGCATTGTCCTAGTAGAGACTCTTTGAGATGGTCCTGCCCCTGTGGCAGTTCTCTGCCTGGGCCCCAAGGCCCTCCCAGAACATCCTTTGAAATCTACATGAAGGTAGCTATGCCCCCATAGTTTGTGTACTCTGTGCACCTGCAGACTTCACACCCTGTGGATGCTGCTAAGGTTTACCACCAGTGTCTTCTGGAGCGGTGGTCACTGCAGACTGCAAGCCACACATGGAGTGGCTGAGGAACACTGTGCCAGAATGTAGAAGCAGAAACTCAAGGTGGCCCTGGGCAGCAAACCACAAGGTCCTATGGGCCTTTGAGATAGTTCTGCCTTCAAGACCCTGGTACTCTGGCCCTGTGATAGGATTGGCAGTT